CTCAGTGGTTTCGCCACTTGCTGTGCAAGTGCAAGGACCCGAGTTCGATCCCCAGTACCCAAAAAAACCAAAAAACCAAAACAAAAAAACTACAAAATGCTTTAAAACTTTAAAGTGGAAATATTAGTCAGTTAATGGCATCAATAGTACTTTTCCAAGTTAAAAAGTAAACCTGACAAGGGCTGGGGATTTAGCTCAGTGGTTCCGCTGCCTGCCTCAAAAGCACAAGGACCTGGGTTCGATCCCCGGAACCAAAAAAAAAAAAAAAAAAAGTAAACCTGATAGTATATCTAGTCTATAAATTTACCAAAAAGGGAAAAATCAGACACAGTTCTTCACTGTGCCAGTGTCTGGATTTCATAAAATCCTGTTAGCCCCTCATGATATTTCTATGCTTATCTCCAGTTGGGACAAGAAGCACTGGATGCCCAGAGGACCCAGCCTTAACCTCTGCCAGGCAGGGGCATACCTGCAGCTGGGCTTCTGTGCCCTCGCTGACACAGGTCTGCTCTTCTACAACAGGCTGCAGTTTCATCCACATAAAATCCCAGGGGATTCCATCTGCTTTCACAGACAGAGAGGATTAATCCCCAAACAAGAGAGACAAAGCCTTGGGTTCAGAGCCAAAGGCTCAGGCCCAGCTCTCATCAATTCCAAACTTGCTGCCACACCAAATGATTTGTTAGCATTCTTGGAGAACATTGCCCAAAGGCCACGCAGCAGCCCCTGGCTCATTCTGCAAACAGAGGGGTCAGAGCTGGAAAGCACTTATACCTGTTCTCTTATTCTGACCACATGATAGAGTAGGGACTGCCCTCGGTAAAGTGAAAATAAAGGAGGCAGGCCCCATCAACACCAATAATAATAGCTGACTCACAGTGACTCTTATAACCTGCAAGTACTGGGAGGAACTCCTGATGCGCCATTTAATCTTCAAAGCTCTAGGATGCAGGCAATATTAAGGGAGGAAATGAGATGGTGAGGTAATAAAAATAAGCCAAGGTTACACAGTTAGGTGGCAAAAGAACCAGAAATCAATCCCAGCAATCTGGCAAAGTCCACATTGAGGACTGATTTGCCTTGCCTTTGTTTGCTCTGGAAAACATGGAATCACCCACTTCTCCTTGACAAGGGAGCTACTGCACTAACCATCCCAGAAGCACAACCGTGAAGTCCCAAATTCCCCTGAAAGGATCCAATCAACTCACTGGTCTGGCATTTACAAAACATCTCTGCCTCTCAACTTCTTTTTTTTTGGTACCAGGGATCGAACTCAGGACCTTGCGCTTTTGAGGCAGGTGGCAGAACCACTGAGCTACATCCCCCAGGTCTCTCTCAACTTGCTTCTTTCAGCCAAAATCAGGGGTTCCAGTTGCAGCCCTTGCTGTTTTTTCTTACCTCATTAAGGCATATTCATAGCTAGTCTGGCAGTTCCAGCAACAGAGGTCTTTAAGTAGCACCTGGCCTTTCCTCAAAACCATTCCATGAGGTTCGTTTTTCCTCCATGCCAATACACACACACAAAGGGCTCTGAACATTCAGGACTCCAAAAGGAAACAAAGATCCAAGTAGAAGCTTCAGCTATGATGAAGCTCCAGGTAAGGGCAGAGGTGAGGACATCTGTCCTAGGACCTCTAAAAGATTCAAGAGGAGGAAATTAAGCCTTGTATTGCAGAAACATTGAGGGGCCAGACTCCATGGTGCCTAGGTTCCTTAACCCCAGTAAGGATTTCTGATGGGCTATGCCTAGTGTAAGAGCAGACTTCTCATTAGCAGGAGCGCAGTGGGTAGAGAAGGGTGAGAGGGAAACTGCAAATCCTGGGAGACTCTCAGCATCTATTTGGGTCCCAGAGTTATGGTGCTTAAAGAGGGAGGGCTTTTTCGGGACCCTGTTCACATGCGGCATCCCTGAGAATCCCCAAGGTGCACAAGACTCATCTTTCCACTCACAGAGCATTCATGGTATGTGATTTGGGAGGCATTCCTCTTCCCTACTGAGGCTTGCCCACACTTGGGCTCCATTTTTTATACTGCACAGGCAGCAAATCTAAAGTTCTGTGTATAAGAGAAAAGCAGGCAGGATATGAGAAAAAAATAACCTAACTTGTGTTCATTCTTCTGACACAGGACTACAGAATAAACACAACCTTTTGATTTCCTCAGAAGATAAGGGCCTATCAATATATCTTCAGTTATCCCATTTTGGACAGTAACACACGTATCTCTTACCGTAAGAGAAACAACAGTGCAACCTCAGGGAAGGAAACACTTCAGGGAGCAGTGGAGGCCAGAGGAAATTAGAATGTACCACCCTTCCCAAAGGGGAGGCCTTTCCAATACTACTTCTGGGAATTCCTGGGGTAGAACATTTGCAATCTCCCAATTTTCAATGGCAGTTTTTTTTGTTTTTCCCTGTTTAACTCTGTGCTGGCCTGATAAAGTATCTCAGTTGGATGTGGCCCGGGCCCCCATATGTCACCAGGGCAGTAGGGTGTAGTAAAAAGACTAACTTCCCAGCTCTGGCTATGCTACTCCGATGCCTACTAACAGCAGTGTGGAACTGCAGCAGCTGGAAGTAACACAGACCTCATGTTCCACAAAGCTAGGATTCAATCTTGGTTTTGTTTGTTTCCTTGAGACAGGGTCTTGCTAAGCTGCCCAGCCTGACTTTGAATTGTGATTCTCTTGTGTCAGTATCCCAAGGAACTGGGACTGGTTCTACTTTCCCTAGCTCCAACCCCTCAAGCATACTAGTAACTTCTCTAAGCCACAGTTACCATTTACTGCAAAATGAACTACAAAATCCAACTAGATTTGTGAGAATTAAAAACAAGTGTGTGAAAACTACCAGGAACTCTTAATAAATTTTAAGTTTCCTTCTGCTATAACCCTGAAGAAACAACGTAAGTCTTAGTCGCCTTCATTTCATATTTCCACCTGTTAAAAGGCAAAATAACATTCTACCACTGCTGCACCACCTCAGGATGGGATGAGGTGATGCGCACAACAGCAAAGTGCCTACCAAGGTAGAATATTGTTGGCTCAACTGCCAACACCCTTTCCTCTCATTTCAAGGCCAACAAACGAGCAATTTGCTCTTCTAATGTGTTTATCCCCCTTCAAAAACATGAAGTGGGGAGAAGATGGTACCACACTTGCGGTAATTCCTTAAAAATGGCTATTAGCAGTTAACTCTCCAGAGTTCAATTTCACCATCCTCTAAAGAGGAGAGTGAACATTAGGTCACTGGTCACTTGAGAGCCTGGTGAATTTCCTTTATCTCTCCATGTTCATTTTAGCAAATTAGAGAGGCAACTGAGGGAGAAAATAGAGTCCCTTAACAGTCACACACTTCTTTTATTCATACAAAGAAATTCGAGTCATAAACTAAACAATTTCACTAAAGTACCATCACAAATTCACTGACACTTTCCAACTAAGAGGATATCTGCTGGTTCTCTTATTTTCCCACATTACAGTGAAACTAGCACACACTTTAGAGCATTCCTCAACTGAATCTTTAAAGCATCTTTACAACTTCTTTTACATTAGTGAATCTGTAAGGGCAAGGTCTAGGCTGAAGGGATTCATCAAACACTTAACTTTTTAGCTGTCACACGTGTTTGTCTTGTTTTCTTGTTACATCATGGAGGCATTAAATTCAGCTACACTGAAGCTACTACAAACTGTGGGTTTATCTTTCAGGAGCATGCCTCCCCTTATTGTGCTTCAACTGCTCCCTTTAAAAAAAAAATCAACATTTTTAGAGACTAATCTAGCGTGGCAGAATTAGTAAGAATCAAAAGGTAAATCCCAAGGGAAAAAAATGAGCAAGCTAGATGAGTATACAGATATTACACCCACACACCGCTCCCATCCCTGCCAAAGCAGAGTTCTTTAAGAGAAAAAGAACAATGTTTAAAATCATGCAGAATTTTTAGGAATCAGTTCCTCACTAAATATTGACATATCATGATCCCAGAAGCAAACTGGTAAAGATAAAAAGCAACACAAAAGAAAGCTCTCTTTCAAATAATATCTCCATTCATCTTGGGCTTTGGTTTTATGTAAACCTTTTGGCACATACAATGCTTCTAGAATTATAGCTGCATGTTCACTACCTTGGCCTGTGTGTTGATGAGTGTAACCTGGAAGGGATTTGAGCAACTGGGAAAAACTGCTAACACATTTTATACAACCCCTAGCCTTGCTAATACCCTTTGTGTAGAAAAAGCTGACCCAGCATCCACCTGCATCAACTTGATCCACTCAGCTTTGACATCTGTGCCTTTTGGGCAAAATAAATCAGCACCCCAGGAGGAAAAAAAGAAAACTTGTTACTGGAGAAGCAGCCTGGACAACCAATTTACAAAGAATGAGGATCTATGGATGGCCTTGAATCTAGAATCAAACAGAGCAAAATGTACCTGGGGTGGGGGCCCCCAAGGATGGGTGAGTCACTTTTAAAGGAAAACGCCAAACATACACAAAAACAGAAAACAGTGTACAGATTCCACACCCATCACCCAGCTTGGCCAATGTCCTCTCATCTAGTTCCCCCCATTTCTGTGAGCAGCCTCCTCGAATGTGGATTACTGTGAAGCAAATCTCCAACCCACATTTCAACTTCAGTCAGGAACTCTAAAAGACAAGGGTTATTAAAAACCACAATCATAATACCATTACAAAAACTAAATAAAACCAGTAGACATCAAATAACGAGTACAAATCTCCAGTATCTCAATTAAAATTTTTTTTTTAATCAGATCAGGATCCTATCAAGGTCCACAAGATGTACTGCACATTATGCCAGAAATCGTTTATCTATCACAGGTTCCAAGTTCCTGTGATTCATTCTCACAGCAGCCAGGCTGATCCCCACTGGCATTTCCAATGACGATTCTGGGGATACTACAGTAGTGAAAAGAAAATCCCAGTTTTGAATGTATATAATTATAAGGCACCCATAAAACAATTCTGAGAGCCGAGCGATCACTCACATCCTTTGCTGGTGTGGGTTATCTCTGGAAGTTGAGTTGCTGGCGCTCCTCGCGGGGCTCTGGGCCGTACCTTCCTCCGGAGTCCGCCAGCAGAAATCACCTGCGGGAGTCAGCAAAGTGGCTTCAGCCGCCGCGTTCGCAGGGCGAGCCCGGGTGAGCGAGAGGGAACTGAGGCAGCCAAGCAGGTTTCTGAGGAAGCGCCAGGACGCTCCAGCCGTGGGGAACAAACTCCCCCGCCGCTCCCGAGGTTCAACCCCTGTCGTCCCGACGCCCACCCAGCCCAGCCAGCCGGGGGCCGTGGGTCGGACCGCGAATCCCGAGCGAGTGAGCGCGCCCGCCGGAGTGCGAGGGCGGCGCCACCTGTTTCCCAACCTCCGGGGACCGGGGCCCCGGAGAACGCGCTACGCTCTGAGGGGGCGCCCACACACGCCCACACCCTCGCCCCAGCCCACAGCGGCCCAGTCCGGGGCACGAAGGCTCTCTGTCCGCGGTCCCACTCCCGCGCCCTCGAGGAACAGACAAGCACTGGATACGCCCGCCGGGGAAGCCGCGAGCAGGAGCGCCAGTGGACCGCAGGCCGCGGGCCGCAAGCAGGCGCGACGTCTGGGCCTCCACCCGCCAACACTCACCGGCCGGAGCTCGCGCCCCGCGTCCTGCGTCCTGCGCAGGGACTCTACCCAGCCCGCCGCAAGGTCACCTCGAGGCACCTGCACCACCGGCCCCAGGTGATTGCCCGCGGGGGGGCGGGGGCAGGACTCTGCCCCCTCGCCCCGCCCTCCTCTCGGCAGGCGCTCCCGGGAGAGGCGGGGACAAGACACCGGGCGATACAGCCGGGATCAGCCCGCTGCAGACCCGGAAAAGCGGGTGTCAGCGCGGGGTAGTGGGTGCGCGGCGGGAGGTGGGCCGATGTCGCCCCCTGCTGGTAGGGCGGCGAGGGATAAAGCAGGCTGCCACACCCTGGGGGGCTGCAGTGGGACATCTTCAGGGGTAAAGGGTGTGGGTGCTTAGTGCGAGGCCTTGAGGACCCAGCTACAGCCCAGAGAGCTCCCCAAGTCCCCAGCAGGCAGGGCAAAAAAGCCTCATTTGCTAAGCACTTTGTAAATTTTCACTTCTGCCATTTGTCTCTAGATGAGGATATAAACAGGATGAACTTGAAACTTGTATGCCACTAAGCAACTGCATGCAGTGCACTATGGATTGTTATTTTTTTAAATGTGAAAATAACACACGTTGCATTTTGTATGTGTGTGTCCAGAGTTCTAACTTTTTGTGACTCAACAGATATTTGTTGAATACCTAGGACTTGTTAGTTGTTTAAACATTTAAAATGTGGCACAATTTCCTCCTGGTCTGCAAACGCAACCTTGAACCAGACAAGTGGGTTGGGCCTATCTTAACCTTCCAGAAAATCTGGACTGGCCTTGCCCGGAACTCCCTAATGGCCCCAGGGGCCAGTCAGAAATCTGACCCAAGTGTGGCTCATTAGGGGAACTGTGGGAGGCTTCACCCGCCTGGGGAGATTAGAAAGGATGTCCTGGAGCAGGGCAGATAGCTGAATCATGAAGACTACGGGATTCACAGGCTGTGAGGAGCTTGGTCCTGAGGCACGGTGGGCAAAGTGAGGCAGAGAGCCAGAGTGTGTGTTCTCACTGAGGAATGGCATGCCAGCCGGCATTGCAAAAAAGGAGAGGATGGAGCTGAGTTAGAGCAGAGGATGTAGGGATCAGATCATACTCCTAATATTATAGACAGCCATGTTAGTTAAAATACTATAGGCAGTCAGGCAGGGCTGGGCCTTTAAGAAAGTCAATGCAGAAGATAACATATTGTAGCTGTGGCTGTAGGTGCATATTCATTCATTGAAGGCCAGGCTTCAAGACAAAGAGAATTGACTACACCCAAAGTACTTCACCTAGGGATGAACAGCAGTAATTGGTATTCTAAATAGGTATCTACCACCTGAGTGGGAAACCAAAACCTTAACTCATCCCTTCCCAGAAAATCCTTGCTCCTTCTATGTAAGACTGCTGCATGACTTGCTTCCTCATCGATCCCCATTTAGTTAATATTACCTAAGCGACTATAGTTGTAATCTTATTGATTGACCATAGTTTCTCCCACTTCATACCCACCTTGTGATTTCCCATTGGATCAGTATTACCCAATGGACCATACTTGTAACCTTATTAGTTGTCTGTAGTTTTGTTCCACCTTACACCCACCTCACTTCGTGGCTTTGCTCTATAAAACTCCTTTGAGAAGCGGGGTCCACAGGCAACCCACTTTCTGGACCCCCTTCCTTCTGTCTTAGAAGCTATCTTTCTCTCAATAAATACTTCCTACTCTTAACCTCCGTTGTTCCTAGAATTCATTCTTCAATTTTAGAAAACATGAACTCGATATTTTGGATATTTTACAAGTTTGGAATTATACTATTTCCCATACATTATTTGGAGGTCCTGTATCATACACCCTATATAATTTGGAGGTCTTCAACCGAGATAATTAGTTGGAAGTAAGAGTTTGGTTTTGTTTCATAGAGTCTGGCTTTTGTTTCATAGACTCTAGACTATGGCTCTTTTAGGTATTGTCTTAAAGTTTTCCTATCATGTTTTGCAATTGTATATGTCTTGAGTCTTTCCTCTATGCATTGTCTTTTGTTAAAATTACATTTTATTCTTGTTTTGTGTATGTTGCATTTAGACCTAGTTGCTGAAGTTGCTGAATCTGCTAGCATTCTTTGTTTTGTTGGACAACAGCGCCAGGGAAAAAATAGTGTTAGTCCACTACCTAGTGGTCTTTAACGGTAACTACAAGTAAATTTTTAAATGCCGTAAAATGGGTCTTTTTATGAAATATCATGCCAATTAATAAATCACGGGACCCCATCCATCAGTTAAAAGATGATAGGCCAGTGGCCGTTCTTAAGATTTGGAGGACAGATTTCTCTGAGATGTTCCTGTTCAATCCTTCTCTATACTCTGGAGAAAATGTTGGGCCTGTTCTGCCTGTTTCCTTTCTGATCTGATCTTCTACCTACGAGCAAATTGTCTTCAGTAACTCACCATGAGCATGAGAAGAAAAGGCCTCCTTTCCTGGTCTCATTTCTGATCTTTCTGGGCCACTTTACACTTTCCTTAGAGAGGCACATAAAGTTAGAGAAAGGAAGGATCTCTAAAACTGACCCAACCTTTTCCACCTAAGGACCTTTAAATTGAGCCCATAGGACAATGAACATTTTGCTAACACCAAAGACAGGGAAGTCATCTTCAGTGAAGAACACATTTAGTTTGAGGGAGAACCCCAATCTTCTGTCTCTCCCCCTCCAGTCTGGTTTTCATCATTTATGTGTGTAGGGGAGAAAAATACCTTTGCTAATAAGTTGTGGATTTTAAAACCTTTACTGTAAACTTGTAAAATGCTATGTAATGATTTGGGGGGGGTTGGTGGGGGTTTTTTGGTGGCTTACGCTTTTATTTAGACTTTTTCTCTCTGCTAGTTAGAAACTTCCCCTAAGCTTTTCTCCAGCTCACTGGGAGTTAACTTTAGAATCACCTTGTAGTCAGACCACCCCTCCCTCCAGGAAGTCAGGCTGGGGCAGCTTGCAACAGTTTGCCTTTCACAAAGGAAAATTGCAATCAGCTAGTGACATACACTTGTGTTTTTTAATGTACTAACTGGGATAAAGAGAGATTTTAGTCAGACTTTCTCTTCTTTTCAGGTGCACATAGGAAATTGATAAATGTGCCCTTACTAACATGTGAATTGTGGCTGCTAGGCAATGAATATAAGTTTAACCAGTGCAGCTTCAGGGACACAAAATTTTAGATTAAACCTTGAATGAAGCGTAGCCTTGTCTTGCTGTTGAGAAAGGTTGCCTAGCTGATCAGATATATAACACAGGTGCCTTGGAGGCTTTTTCCCCTGGGCAAATTCCTCTGAGCCATTTTTTGCTTCTAGAGGTGATCTCCTTTACAGGATGGAAAGTGCTGCCCTTTAATTTATGTGCCTCAGACTCTCTCTTTCAAAGAATTTGAAAGCAGTGGTTTAGATTTCTTGGTTATTGGCTTTGCTAGCAGTGCTTCCTTCTTTAAACATGATTGTTGTGGCTGAAATGAACTGTAACCTGTGCTTTTAAAATGTCTGCTGGAGTTAATAATTTGAGTTTCCTGGGTAGGATAGGGCTGCTGAGCCAGTAAAAGGTGGCTAGTCCAACCCAGCATATCTTCCAGTTTCCTCCAGATAGCCATCTGCCTGGAGTGAGTCACCTTGGGGACACCTTGAGGAAAAAGGAATCAAGTAGAAATTAAAAGGGACGCCGATTTCTTTCTCTTGGATTCTTTTGGGGAACTCAATCATTTACTCCTTTAAAATGTACGAAAGTAAAAGAAGCGATGTTGTTAGCACAGGTGACTGAGCCCAAGGCTAAATGAAGGGTGCAGGCACAGAGTTGCTGGGATCCTTAGACAAAAATGGAATACAGAGGAAAGTATTAATTATGATACTATTTCACAAGTGGGATCATACTGTAAGAGAGAAAATGGTCAAAATTGCCTATGTTCAGACTTTCTTTGCATTAAGAAGTAATCCTTGCTTGTGTTCAAAATGTGAATGTAAGCCACAGGAAAACCAGACGCCTGGTCCTAAAGACATTCACTACTGTGGGACTGCATAACTCTGTAATCATAAAACTCCCCTAGCCCCAACTGTGATTGAATGTGAGTAAATAGATAAAGATGCTTGGTAGCTCCGGGACACTAGATAAGATCTGTATCAGCCATAAGGTCCCAAAGTAAGTTACTCAACTCTTTGTTCAAAAACTGATGTTCTGGACACTGCTATCTATAGAACAATCTACAAACATCTGCTGACCATCAGTACGTGTCAGCTGACAACTAACCTTTGTTCCTCTTCTGTAAATTTCGCCTGTTAACTTCCCCTGCAACCCCCTATAAAAGAGCCTCGGACTCTGGGCTAGTTGCCTCTCTAAGCTACTTTGCTTTGGGAGTGCCGTCTGGCCAGACTAAGGTCTGTTTTACTTTCCAATTTGTCTGGTGTGTTCCTTCCTGGGTGTTCTTCCCTGCAGTCATCTCCTCAGAGCATTTGGTAAGGCCCTCGGTCTTACACAGGGGATTGAACTCGACCTTGCTCTTGGGAGGCAGGACGGTGCCACTGAGCTAAATCTCTGGCCCACCCCTCATAATTCTTTACTGTTTATCTTCTTTACTTTCTTTACTGTCTATCTTCCTTGCACCCCAGCATGTGAGCCCCAACAGGGTAGGGGCTTTTGTTTATTTTGTTATTTCAGTGTCTCCAACACCTAATACAGTATTTAATAAATATTTGTTGAGGATTAAAGTGTTTTTAAATATCTAAGATAAGTGCCTAGAAATAGAATTTCTAGGGCATAGAAATTCATATTTAATTTCAAAACAGACAAATTGTGCTTTCTAAAGTTTGGGACAACATTTCTACAACTATGGATGGCATCTGTACATTTAATACTGACCACATATATGTCTTAAATTTAACTTCAATAGTTTATTGGTCAGTCTTTAATGACAACAAAAATTACTCTAGCTGCTTTCAGCAGAAAAAACAGTTTTAAAAAGGGATGCTCCCAGATTCTGGGCAGACCAGAAGAGCCGGGCCAACCTCAGCAGACAGACACAATGCTACCTCACCTCTGTGGCTGCTCCAACAAAGGCCTTGTTGCTGGAGACTTCGGCCCAGATGTTGAGCTTGTCCTCCTACACCACCTGGATGATTGTTTGCCTTGATAGTGTTAACCTTGTGACTCATTCTTCTTGTAATTATAATTCTTTCCACTGTTTACCTTAGTCTGACATTTAATAGAGTCACAATT